CCAGGGTTTTAGTCCTTTAAAAAGTGTTAAAAACATGGATTCAGTGTATCATTGAATATTGCATGGTTCTGTGGAGGTAAATTGCATCAGTTTGATTCCTTTAGTAGTTCAGAGAGTTATTGCTCTGTGCTTACTCGGGAAGTTTACGGGAGCCTTTTGAAAGTTGAGGTTAAAACAGGCAAAAGTGGCTAATGATGGGGAGCAGCTCAATGGCAAAGCCCCAAAAAAACTACATCAGGAAAGTCTGGGCACGTAAATCAAGCAGCAGCATTGAAAAATCAGCCTATAAATCTCTCCCTTGCCCCCACAGCTCCAAAAAGCATTTGTGTGCAGCACGTGGACCTTCTAGTTTTTTATTTTGACCACAAAAAATTCACACTTGTCTTTATTTCATTCCACAACTGCTTAAGAAGATTAAGATGGCTTAATCATGGAGAGTACTGGCAGCACTCAAGAAGGTGAGGCAAATTTGAGCTGTTTTTCTCTCCTGCCATCAAGTACTGGAGGTTATTCAACCTCCTAAGAAACATTAAAGGTCTTTTGACATCCAGGCTTCTTCCAAGAGACATGTAGATGGGGGAGTGATCTCCATGTGATGGGGATGAACTGGCCATTGCAATTGTGATGCAGAATTAAAGGGATGTTGGTGGCATTTCTGAGGTGGAGTTGGTAGGGCTTGGGTAGCACTTGTCATGCTCTTGGCTGGCTTTGCTCTCCTTCTTGGCTGCTTCTTGTTCTGGGGTTTGTGGAGGCAACAGTGAAAGCAGAGACCCATGAGAGGGATTCACCCCATCTACCTAAGGAAACACGGCGTGGAACATCTTCCAGAGCATGACAGATGGCTGGGGTAAGCTCCAAGGTAGGTAGATCTCCAAAGGGGCTCAAGGAAGTCTTTGAGGGGAACCCCAAAATCACATCTGTTTATAAAATTGCAAGAAATCTTCTACTTTCAGCATAAGAGAGTGACAATACCTTCATCTGTTGACATAATATGTCATTTTTCTGCAAGCACGACTCAAAACACAAAAAATAACCATCACTCAGGCTGTGCTGATGGAGTCTTTGATCAACCAAAAGGTAAAACACTGATTCTGTAAATGAGCTGAGGAGCCCCAGCCCCTTGGTAGATGTATGTTTTGGAGACTCAAAATATCCCTTTAAAAGCTTGAGGGGGGTAAAAACCAATCATCAAGGTCAGTATGGGGAATAAAGTCACCCAGGACATGACTTCCCTTTCCTTACACCTAGGTCCTGATGCTCTCCATGGTGCACCCTTGAGCTTTGTGGAGAAGAGGAAGGCACCAGAAGAGGTAAGGGAGGGAATGAAGGGTCGTTTTCCTTGGTAATTACAGGTAATTAGATGGTATTTGTGTCTGACATCTGCATGGATCATCATGATGGTGATAATACCTACCTAGCTTTGGTGTAGGACATCCCAACACAAGCTATGAAGGACAACCAAGTTTCTATAGGCTTGGGAAATGTGTCAAGAATTACTTTTGGTGGATTTTTAACATTTCTTTTCAGAGGAGAGCCCTAAGCTTACAGTTACAGTATTTTTGTATGATAAAAGACCTTTTAGTCTTGTTTTCTCCCCCTTTATTCCACACCACGTTGGAAGCACACAAAGGGTTGTGGAGATATTTCCACACAGAGTTCAGCTGCAAAGGCAACACCATAAAACAGCCCAGGGAAGAAGATGAAAATAGATGGAGGGGTCAATCATCATTTCAAAGAACATTTTAGTAACATTTTAACATCAATTTGCATATTTAATGATTGCTTTCGTTCTTTGAGACATTTCAAAAGGTGCTTTGCCCTCCAGAATGGAGCTTTTTATTTGAAAATGTGGAAATGAAACATTTAAATTTCAGAAAGGCTCTTCTTAAAAGTTTTCCAGAGGTGCTCTCTCTTCTTCAAGAAAGGATTTGGTGTTTAAATGCCACATTTTCTGATTAGTTCATCAAAAAATTCCCAGCCCTTGCTAGCTGCAGAGGAAAAAAGAGAGGCTGGAATGATTTATTGGTGGCTTTCTTGCCATTTTTTCTTTCTTATTTCCCTTTCTTTTCTTCTGGTCTGTGTGGCCTGACTATTAACACAGCTGTCTATGGCATTGTGTAAAATCTATGTGAACAAAATGCTGGCACAAAAGAACCCCAAAAAACTAATTTACACTTTGAAAGCAGGATGGGGTTGAATCTTATAATTAATAAAGATGTTTTTTTTTTCCTTAACAGTAAAGGAACTGTTTGTTTTCTATCAGTCTTAAGAAAAAAACATTCCTATTAGAAAAAAAATAATTTTATTGAGTTTTTACCCCAAACTCCAGGGAAACAGAGAAGCAAGGGAAGGTGCAAAGTTTAGGTGAACCCTGGTTCAGGGGAGCTGAAGGAGTTTGGTCCTCTGTCAGCCCTCCCAACCTGCTGCTGTGAGGAGCCAGCACTTTCTGGGCTGGCTGGATGCAACGGGGTTGATGTCTAATTAAAGAATAAATCAGGCTGAATGGAAGGAAACATCAGGGGGCTGTAGCCCCATCAGGTGCATTAGCCACCCCCAGCAAGCCCTGGTGCTCCCACCACATGCTGCTGGAGCAGCTGCCCCATCCCTGCAGCTGCTGGTGCCTCAGGCACAGTCTCGTTGTCCACCAGGTCCAGGGGTTTCTCAGCTCCTGATGGTGACCAGCACGTGTGTGGGGTTGTGCCAAGGAGAAGGGAGAGCTCGTTGCAGGGGGAGATGTTTTGACCTTGCAAACTCAATTCCCATTCCACAGCCCAGGAACCTGGAGAACGTTTGGTTGGGCAGGTGAGAGCCTGTGAGAAGCCAAGGCTGGGCACCAGCAAAGCTCTGCCTCAGCCACACAGGGGTTTCCTGCCAGCAGGACCCAGAACTGCTGAGGACACCTTCCAAATGGCAAAGAGCTGTAAGTTGTGAATGCACATTAGCATAAAGACAGCAGTGCCAAACCCAGCTGACTGAAAAGCACAAACATGAATGTGGAAGTGGGCATTAATTCCCTTCTTCTTTTAAAAATACACGAGTGCCCACTTTGCATTCTAATTTTCCACAATGGCAGCACAACCTGCCAAAAAAAGTCCTTGCTTGTGCTTTGCAGACCCTTGTCTTCAAACCCTGAGCTCCTTCAAGCCTTGCCAGAGCTCCTTGGTCCATCCTGTTCAGCTTGGAGATACAGAGCAGAAGAAGGGAGGGCAACGGAGTCTCCTCCTCACTTCAGGCAGGTTTCACCAGCATTACACCTTAGGTAAATGGCAACTGGTTGAAATGACACTTATTGAGGGCTATTTAGGTGATGGATATATTGCATTTTGTGTTTAATTAACCACTTTGTGTTCAATACAAAGAGGGCATCTTGGAGCAGTTGCCTGTGATGGGAGATGGGTGTGTTATTGTGGTGCAAAACTATGGAAGAGGTGGGATGGCACTGGGCTGGCCAGGGGAAACACCTCCTGTGGTTGGGGTCAGGTTGAACAGAGCAGCTCTCTCACTGGGGCAGTGAGGAAGAGAGGTCTAACATGTTAATTAAAAGCCACCCCTGCAATATTTAAGAAAGCACAGTGCAGAGGAGAGAATAAATTATTAGAATGTAAAGGGTATTGTGCTCATAGAAGAAGAACGAGCACATTCATCAGTCCATATGCCTCAACAGTTGGCTGGAAGTGTAGTCAAAATTTTACCCAACCCTCTCCAGTTTCATTTCCCTAACCAGTGTGCAGTTTCTCTGAGATACCCATATGTTCACAGTTAACTTTAACTATTCAATTGATTTGGAAATTAATTTGGCAACACAAAGTCCCATAGGACAAGGAAGTCAACATCTTCATCTACTCCCCCATCTTAGAACAGGTCATGACTTAGGCTAAGGCTGGAAAATCAGAACTTGAATTTTCCCTGTCATTTAAATGTCCTCCCCCAGCCTCCTGGCATGTCACAGGAATATGGTTATTGCCCTACAGAAATTATAATTCTCCTAGCCTGGCATCCCATTCCTGGCAGTGATCTACAGCAGATGCTCCAGCAGAAGACAAATGCATTAGGAACCAAATGGCAATGAAATTCCATGCAGGAATGTCCTCGTTCCCACGAGACACTTCTTCCCCAGCAGGCTTGGGTGGTGGGAGGGGTATGGGTGCTCCAGAGTCCACTCTTCTGAAAGAGAACATCCTCCCACAGCTGCACAGCAAGCCACTGCAGGTCTCTTGGTGGGTACACCTGATTTTAATGCTCCTGGTCTAGCTAGACGTGGACCTTGCCTGGTTGGAACGTGTTTGCACGGGCTGATTGCACAACTTCTGGGAGGACCAAGCTATTTCAGATATCACCAATGATTTCATGTTGCTGCTTGGATTTCTGGGGTTCCTTTGTGTGAAAGCTGCGTTACCTTCAGAGCCAGCAGGAGCTGAAGGAGACATACCTTCCAGAAGTGCCACCTCCATGCTGCCCTTGCCAGGACAAGTCTCTCTCTGGAGGTGTCTCACAGTGACGGCTGCAGAAGCTGCAGACTCCACCGTGGGGCAGAAATAGAATCACTAGGGTTGGAAAGGACCTCCAGAGGATCATCCAGTCCAACTCTTTGAGCTCAAGCCATGCACAGCCTCTCTGCTTCTTTCATGCACGAGAGGGGTTGTGAAACCTGGTGCCCTGGGCAGTTCTTCATCACAACCTCTCGTGACCTGCAGCCGCTGAGGTTCTCTGCACTGCTCTTCTGAAACGAGCAGCCCTGTGTTTATTTGGAAGTCTTCCTGCTCTGTCTCAATAGCTATTTGTCATGCTCCTTAATGCCACAGCTGTTTGGTTACACCAGGTCATCTGCTTTTATTAGTCCTGTTCCCACCACCCACTGAAACTCACACCAGCCGGGAGAAGATTATTATCCGCCTCCAAAAATAGCACTTCTCTCCTTCCTCCTCTTCCAGCCACCCTGGAAACTTGGGGTGGTTTTGATTCTTTTCTGCTTCCCACTTCTGCTGCCTACCTGCTGCCCCATGAAGGTTGGAGCAGCCACCCTCGTGGCCGGGATCTTCGGCGGCACCGGCGTCCTCCTCTTCCTCATCGCCTTCGGGACCGATTACTGGCTCCTAGCTACAGAGACCTGTGGGGTCTTTGAGCCTGAGAACAGCACTCTGCAAACAGGGCAGGTAAACTCTGAAATCTTCTCTTCCTTCAGAAGAATCGACTTAGTTAAATCATTTTAATGTTATTTTTTTTCCCCCTTATGTTTTAAGCCTGTGACGGTGCTTGTGCCCGTTGAAAATGTCCTGCTAAGGTACAACGCTGAGCTGAGGTTGCTTTAAAATCCCAACCAGCTTTTCCAGCATTTGGGCTGAAAAAAAATAAAGAAAATAATTAAAAAGGAAAAAAAAAAAATAAAGAAATAAAGTCCACCTAGGAAACATTAAGACAGCCCTTTGGTGATCAGGCAGATCAGGGAATGAAAGGGAAAAAATGTGAGAGCTTTACCTGTTGCCATGATTTGCCTCTAAAGACAAAAGATATCTCCTGATGTTTGCCATGAAAAGATTTCTTCCTCCGTGGTTTCTTCATTTAATAGTTCATGTTTGAAAGTGGGCAATCCTTTACATCTGAAGGGATCTGGCTACAGCACAGGGGAAAAACAGGAGCGAACGTCAGATGCAGATCAGAGCAGACCAGAAGTCCTGCCCACCCAACAAGAAGAGCCCTGTGCATTGTGAATTAAGATTTATACAGGATTTTAGTTAGCAGGAAATGTAATTTTCAAAGGACAATTGGGTATTTTAGTGCTAACTGCTGGTATCACATGTTTAGAGACCCTCTTGGAAGCTTGATCTGCACTTGCTCTTGTCTAACTCTGCAGTGAAAGAACAACCAGATCAGCTCTTTGAGCCACCCCCTCTTCAGAAACGTTTCTGTGGCGATCAATGTGTGGTTTCAATTACCAAATGACAGGAAGAGCCTTGTTGTGTGCAGACTTTTTGTTACTTCAAAGTTCAATCCACTTAGGGTTGATTTCTTTTTTGCTGGTGAGTCACTCTGGGTAAGCATCGTGATGCCAGCAAGAAATATTCTCTTTCATTTCTGAATCCCATCATCGAATGTAGGGCACTGTTGGCTTGAGTCATGTTTCCAAATGGCTTTTTCTATTAAAAAAAAAATAATAATAAATGGAAAAGCTGCCTGGCAGTGTTTGTCCTGCTTCAAGCAGTGCAGGAAAGCCCTGGAGATGGCAGAGTCATGGGCAAGAGGAGTGCAGCTCAGTTTTTTTCTGCACTTGGGAAATGATAATCTTAATTGTTTCAGAGTTTTGTTTGGGCTGTTGTCTTTGAAAGTGGAGAGACTGGAGATGTTTCACCCCACAAAGTGAATAAGCACCTCAAACCTTTAAGATACTCCCTTGGCCAAGTGTTAACGTGCCTGCCACCAAGGCGGAGCGACTTCAAAAGCACCAGGAGCTGCTCTTACTCCTTCCTCTGAGCTATTTTATTTCTCTTTCAGATGCTGTTTCTATTATTTCTAGTTCAACAGGCTCTGTTTTTACCTTCTCTGCCCTTTCTTAAACTGGCAAATCCTGTCCCTGGCAGATAAGGGTGGTCTTGAGTATCTGCCAAACGTCGATTTAGTACGTTGTGGATGCAGTAAGTCAGCAGCCATCCAGCTGATGGAGTTTGAGGGCTGCATGTTGCCATTGTCCTAGTTAGGATTTTATCCTGAAAGCAGAAGGAGAATCAGCTCAGAGCTCTGGAAGCAGTCACAACCTGGTGTATGCAAATCTTGAGGTGAGGGAAGTGTCTTCTGGCACCTTCCCATGGAGTCCCATCTCCTGTCTCTAGTTCACAGGGTCCAATCCTGCATGGAGGTTCTCCATCCTTCACCAAACCTAATTTTATAGCCATCATGTCTCCTTTACCAAACTGTGTGATACAGTTAAAATTGATTTTGGATGGAGTTTTAATAAAATTTTGGCAAATAGTCCATGACTCAACTTTACAATATCCTCCCTTCTGGGAAGACTTAAACCCTGTGCTTGCAGATCTGGTCAGTGGACTGAAAGAGACTCCAAAAAAGAAGGAAAAATTGTCAGCATCACTATTGTGGTCTGTGAGAAGACTGGGGGGATGGGGGTGAGTAATATTTGTGTCACTTAAGTTCAGGATAACCTCTACTGGGCTCAGCAGAGAGAGAGGAAGAAGGAAACCTTTGGGCTGGTGATTGGAAGAGGCTCATTGGCAGTGTTAGAGCTGGGTGGGAAGACCTAAACCCTGCAGATCTGGTCAGTGGACTGAGACTCCAAAAAAGAAGGAAAAATTGTCAGCATCACTATTGTGGTCTGTGAGAAGACTGGGGGGATGGGGGTGAGTAATATTTGTGTCACTTAAGTTCAGGATAACCTCTACTGGGCTCAGCAGAGAGAGAGGAAGAAGGAAACCTTTGGGCTGGTGATTGGAAGAGGCTCATTGGCAGTGTTAGAGCTGGGCTGTCCTTCTGGGGTTGAGCCAGACCTTACGTGGACAGCTGAGCTGTTGCATTGGATCTTGGAAAATTGCTTACCTGGTAATCAACCTGCTTCCTCCTGGTTACAACATCAAGAGCATTTCTTTAAGGAAAGGAATTAAGGAGTAGAATACACCCAGAATGCTCTGCTCCCTGATGTACCCAGCCAGCTCTGGCCACCAGGGCTTTAGGGAGATCAGAGAAAGAAGAAACTGTTTTCTGAAGGTCTGCAGGACAATTTATTAGAGTGTTTTGTAGCTGTGATACAGCAGAAAGTCAAGGACAGCAGCTGCCTCCCTGTTCCCCAGCCCCTCCAAACCCAACTCAAACAATAACCCCAGCAAGAAATAAAAGTAACAACTCTCTAAGCCAAAAAAAATCTCTGCTTTCCACCATGATCATCCCTGACCCAGCTTGGGCTCTCACTCCTCTGCAGGCTGAAACACTGACAGAGGTCAGGAGGGAGATCCTCACTTTCCACCATGAGGGTTTCTTCTGGAGGTGCTGGTTCTTCGGCGAGGGCCACCCGGAGAGCATCTGGACCTTCTGGTACAGTGAGTATGATGCCACCACCCCGTGTCCACAGCATTCACCCACAGTTTGAATACCAAAGGAGCACGAGAAGGGCTCCCAGGGATGAGGAGACATCTCTATCAAAAGCAAACTTGGCTCAACCTCTCTGTGCTCGTTTTGACTTGGGTTTTGCTCTCCGAGGGTTCCTCACAGAACTGTAGGAACCTCTTGATGCCATTTAATATATCACCTACAACGTTTTATGGAGGGGTGGCTTCCACAGCTGTCCCTCCCATACCTCCTGATGCTTATATTCAGCTAAGGTCTGTTAAATTTGAGCCCATGCCTTTCCTGCCCATCAGCGTTGCTCTTCTGCCAGTGTTTTAGTCTTTGGGGTGCTGAGCATTCCCACAGAATGGGCAAGGCTGGGTGGTCTCTCTGGGTGCTCAGGATCTCCATCAGTGGGCAGTGGTGGACCATGGAGAGCCATAACCATGTGTGTTTGTGTTCTCAAGCACGTGGGACCTTTATATTAAGGTCTTGCCTGGTTTGCTTTTTAAGGTCATTGAAATCACCCGTGTGAATGAACAGAGATGGATGCAAATTAATCCTTTTTTATTTTTTGGAAGCACATTGGCTCTTTGATAAAAAAACTGAAGGAGTTGAAACCTGTTCTGAGACACCAGCTGGTGCTGACTGGTGGCCCACGTGCAGTGAAGTGTGAGGTCTTGGCTCAGTGAACCCCACCACACGCCTGGCACCAGCCCCACCAGGAGCTGAGCCAGCAACCAGCTCCCCCACGTTGGTGCCCAGAGCAGACAGCCTCTCCCTGGGGTGCCACAACCCTGGAGAAAGGTGGGGAATAATCATTGAAAAAGAGATTTCACATCAGTTTTGCAAAGCTCCAGAAGCCTTGACCCTGGGCTCCCTGGTGCTTTGTTCCACCCAAGGATGCTCCCCAGCCTCTGGAGCAGCGTGGTGGCCTCGTGGGATGCTGGGCTGCAAGTAATGCAGGTTCCTACAATAAATTCACTCTGCAGTGATTAAAATTCCAGGTGACTTTGCAGTCCCAGAGTCCCTGCCCTGTTTCCTGTGAAATCTTGCAGGAGCTGTTGCTGCCACCGTGCAGCTGGACCACGGGAGATTTTTCACACAGAAATGTTTTGCTCAACAGGGACAGGGTTGAGAAGAGGGAGTTTGCTGGCTAATTATGTGGAAATATATCATCTACTAGAACGTTACCTGAAAGAAAAACAATTCTTTCTGAGAACTGGCGAATTTGTGGGACTTCTTTAGGTATTTATTCTAATAGGATTGATCGTGGCCAATTAATTTGCTGCTCTCGTGGATGTGATAATTAATTCAATAGGTATTCCGTAGTCAATTTAGCATGAACTAATGTCCACCTATTATAAAGTGTTCCTTTGAGGTGGGGAACATATTTAACTAAGTGGCCAGCCATTAATTAATTCATTTAACATGCATTCTATTACTGTTAATCATGATAAGCCTCAGTGGTATTAATATTGATGGGGCACTTCCATTCTCACTGTGCTTTCCCTTCTCACAGTCCTGAGGTCTTCTAAGGTAGCTGGTTCTGGTACCCAAATATTTTTTCCCCTTCCAGGCAGTCTGATGAATTTTCTGGAGGAAAACAGCAATGGGATTATTTACAGTGATTTCATTTCCTTCATCTTTAATGATTGATGCCCACCTCGGACTCAGGTTGTGAGGATGAGATGTACAGGTGGAAGTCTCAGATCCTGTTAGAACTCCTCCATCTCATCATTCTTCCTTTTTCTTCTTCTTTTTTTTTCCCTTTCTCCTGAGGATTTGCTGTCTTCCTTTACTCCCCAGCCTCCTGATTTTGGGGAGAATTTTGGAGGTTTTGCAACGCTCAAACTGTGATTTTATGTTGCTCTTTTTCAGCCAGCCAAGCCCACCCCAAGTTCTGCATGCATGGCTACCTCTTTCCCATGCCCATCGCCCTTGGACCTTTCCCCCATCCTTCCTATGACACGACTGCAGGTGAGTTTTGTTCCTCTCCCCCCAGCAGCTCCTTCCCCAAGCAACCAGGCAGAGATTTCTGACGTGGGGCAGTGCTGCAGTTCTCCCATCGTGGCCAAGCATGACCAAGACTTTTGGAAAGCCCCGTTACCAAGCTTTAGTTGACTGCCCCAAGCTGTGAGCCCATCAAAATGTTCTCCCACATCTCTCCTCCAAAGCCAGCCATGCCAGGCTCTGCACCCTCCCTCTGGGTGCTCAGCACCTACCTCTGTGAGCAAGGAAGGATGCTAAATTCTCTCTCTCACCTCCTTGCTCACTGAGAGGAGCTGGAGGCAAAGGGCTTCAGCAGCGTGGCCGTGTCCAGACCCTGTGGGCAAGCAAAAAAAATCATTTCTCCTGGGCTAGAGGCTTGTAGCAGCCCAGTGCTGCCTCATTTCCAGAATCTGGCTTCCTGGGAGAGCTCTGGCATTGATTTGTTGCAAGGCAAAATAAACAAACACTGAACAATCACTTCAAGACCACGTTGTTAGAAGAGCCACGTGAATCCCTGGCTTATTTTTACCACCCCTCATACTCCACAGTTGGAGAGCTCTCCTTTCAACTGGTTCCCCTTTAGTGTTTTTTTTTATGTTTCTCTGGATTTTCAGAGGTCTTTAATGAATCAGCTGCCGGGAGGAATTTTAATTTGCCCAATTGGTGGCAGCAGCTCGAATTAATTCAATGATCTTTTTTGAAATGAATTGATTTCTTTAAATAGTGTGCATCACTCTGCCTCCCCTCCGGGGATCCGGGGCAGGCGTGCTGCACAAACAAACATCTTGACCTTTTCCTTAGCCTTTAGCAGTACCTTTTCTATTTTTATTTTGTAATTTTTGGATATATTTATTTATTTATTTATTTTTACAAGGAATTAATTAAAAAGCCCAACGTTTGTCAGGAGGAGCACGTGAGGGGGAGCAGCTCGTTTCTTTTGCTGTGCTGGGCAGGATTCCTGCCTCGGGGCACGTGTCCTGGTGTAAAATGGATATGAGGGAGGAGGAGGAGCCTGGTGAAGGCTGGGTGCAGCAAATGGGGGTTCAGGGGGGGGAGTTTTTTCAGCCTAGGAGAGGCAGGAGGGATGTCTAGTTTCTGAATGATCTCACTGATGGGGATTCTATTTTTTCCTTCCTAAATAAAGGGCTCTGGAGGCATCTGTCCCTGCCTGTCAAGCCCTGGCTGTGAAACCCTCTCAGAAATTCCCCTTGGGACATGTCCCAGGCAGGGGCTGGGGATGGGCTCCAGCACCTACCCTGCTGTGACCCCCAGTGAGATGAGGATGTCTCAGCACCCACATTTAGGTCAGCAGGAGCCTTGGGCTCCTCTGCTGCACCAACCTTGGGACATCTGCAGGGAGCAGACGTGGCTGTCCTCATTTTATTACTAACCAGCCCGTCCTCCTCAGCAAATGATGACAAAACAGGAGGCTGTCCAAGAAGAGGGGTCCTCCAGCTATTACCTGCTCCAGAGATAATTCTGCCTTATCTGCATCCTCTTAGGCTCCCTGAGAGAAACAGGTGACGGGAGGTTAAACATGAAAATGAATTCTGTGGTTTTGGAGAGTTCAAGATACTTATCTCTCCCTAAGTGGCTCTCCTGACAAAATGGTTTCAAATGAGTAAAATGCATCTTTTCTGTATCATTTTTTCTTTCAAGTGTGAAGCATTTCAGCATTAACCACTTGCTCATCTAACTGGCACTTCTGAGAAACAACAGGCACAGCAAGATGCAGTGGGCTGAGGAGCTCAGATAAACCAGGGGGACGGGGAGCAGGGTATGAGGGGGTCTTTGCCTGGAGACCACCAGCTCTGGCCAAGGTTTAAGGCAGTGACTGGAAAAGACTTGGCTGCTGGGAGGTGGAAATTAGTGGGCTGTGTCCCTTCCTGTGGGAGGTGATGGATGCAAGCTTGCTGGTGAGGTTGCATGAAGCAAAGCCTCCAAATTCAGTGGGTGAAGAGGCAGCTGTTTGCTTGCCCTGATCCCTAACTTGGAGTCAAGCAAGGCTATTAATGAGGGAAACCACAAGCTCCCATTTTCCCTGCAGTCCTGCTAACAAAAACCACCTTTATTTTACACCAGGAACCTGGCACCTTCCGTAAGGGTTAATGAAAATGGAACAAAGACGTGGTCTGATTCCCTCTCTCCAAATGTTTCCTATTTCTTTCCTTTCTTGCCAAGTTCCTCCATCCCCAGCAGGCACAGCTATGCGTGGTGTCCTTTACTCTCACCTCCTTTTGTGGCATCCTTCCCTGGCCAACACGTCCAACCCCTTGTACTCGTTCCAGTCCCGTTGTGCAGGGCCTGACATTCAACCTGGGCTTGCACCAGTTCCAGGCACACTGCCCCCATGCCAGGGAGGGAGCCAGCAGAGCAGGAGCTCCAGCTCTGCCTGGCACAAGCAGCATTCATGGAATCATAGCATTGTTTGGGTTGGAAGAGAACTTTAAGGCCATCCAGTCCAACTGTTCCCCCAGCAGTGCCAGGTCCCCACTGCCCCGTGTCCCTCACACCACATCTCCACAGCTTGGGAACCCCTCCCGGGGTGGGGACGCCACCACTGCCCTGGGCAGCCTGGCACAGCCCTGGGCAACCCTCCAGGGCAAGAAATTGTTCCTCAGCTCCAACCTCAACCACCCCTGGGACAACTTGAGGCCCTTTCCTCTTGTCCTGTCCCTTGTTCCTGGGGAGCAGAGCCC